CGATTATTTGTCTGTCCGAAAAATAAAAACTGCACAAAATCCCTGGCCAACCGATAACTCAAATCGAAGGCAGGTCAAAGTAGCGGAGCCCGGTTTCATCCACGGGACACGTCATTGACTCCGAAATCGATTTGTCTCACACGTCCGCACGAAAATTAACGGCAGATGCGGCCCGCGCCTACGTAACGGGTGCACGGGCGAACATGATCGAGCCCCGGCTTTCCTTTCTCCGTTCGCGAGTCAATAGGATCCGTAATGGCGCAGGACTCGTCCCGGGCCATTGTCATTTTCGGCCTCGTATGCCACGGCAAATGAACAGTTTTGTAGAGCTGGGTACACACCGGGCACCGTCTGCGCCTGCCGCCGCCGCCGTTTCGAAAATGAACGCGCGCATTTGTTCGTTCCTGTTCATCGCTCCGCTGGCCCATGCTTGCTCGAAGAGAATTGATCGAAATTAGAAATTACTAGCTCGTATCCGCGGCTTCGTTCGCCTGGTTGCTAATATTATTAACGCGTTGAATACCGTGGAAGACACCGGTAATTCCCAACAGAATCTAGTTATTATAGTTCACTCAATTAAACGATGATTATTTAAAAACATTTCTATATTATAAGTAATGCTATCTAACGCGGTGACATTCAGCTAGATCAACGTGCAATAGTAATAATGCAATTCAATCAAATGATCTAATATTATATTTTTCCCATTTTGCGTGTTTAGTTCTATGAAATTGTACAGTATTCAATGTGTTAACACTGACGGTAACACGAACCGGTCGCATGACTGCTTTTGAAATTTGATTTAACGCGTTGTTGACTGGTAATTTTACGCAGAAGTTATCCCATGTCACTGGTTATTATTCCGTAATTAAATATGAAACTGAGACAATTTAAATAAATTTCAGTATACTTTATTTATACATAATAAATTGAAATGAAAAGTTGGACATATATTTTGTATAACTTTAAATATTTTACTTTTGCAATATTCTATATTTCCCTGCGGTTCGAATATTGAAATGGCTAATGCAAGTCCAAACATGAGTTAACTCGTGACTCGTCAACCATGTGTTAAAATGCTGCATTTTCCTTTATTCATTACACTTTGTACCAATGCCTATATTGGTTGATTAATTAGTTTCTCAATTTTTTGTCTTTGACTAAGTTCCTATCTATAACTAAACTTTTGCTTATTATACAATCTCAATTATATAATTTGTATGTAAGTTTATATTTTAATGGCTGTAAAATATACTCTATTGGAAAATTTATTATTCGAAAACTTTTGTATACGATACTTACAGAAGTAATCGCAGTAACTGCATAGAAACTAATAAAACCTTCGTTGTATAAACCATAAAATCTAATATTTATACAATAATGATTAAGAAATATCTGCGGCTAAATGCAGAGTGCTAAGAACGAGTATCGTAATTTAGTATACGGTGGGCTTAAAAGCAACGAAATCACATTTGCATAACGGCGGCCGATATTTGTTGGCTGACTGAAATCACGCCTACTTGAAACCGACCATCACAGTTTTAATACCCCTTTTTATAGCCGGAGCCCTCTATCTAAAGCGAAAGAAACTGAAACATAAAATGTACTCTTTCTTATCTTACACTTTCTGCACTTTATTTCATCGCAGAAAAGATCGAACTGGAAGATAGAATGATAGAATTAGTACACAACGTATAATGCAATAATTCTATAGGACCATAATCAGAATCTATGTAAATTAGAATGTTTTTCATAACTTCTGTAACGTACTTTTGATTTTTTTAGCTGTTTAGATCAGAACAAGGTGAATTAATAAATACTTTTATTTAATATAATTCGTTATTACGACGTGAGCTACGAAAAATGGTACACTTCAGTGTTTAGATCGATGACAAACATGTTTCAAATATACCACAAATACAAGCACGATTTATATTTCCGCACAAACAGTAGCCTCATTTAAAGTGAAGTATGACCTATATGAAAAATATATGGAAATAAAAATGTTAAAACAATAGGTAAATTTCAAAGCAGGATATTGCATTGTATAGTAGACATTCTAAATATAAAATTCAAGTATCATTAAAAAGGACAAAATTTATCGATAATGGTGTATAAGAAATATAATAGCAAATCGTATCTAAAGAATATAATACAAATCTATAATTATATTATTACTTACACAATTAATTCATATTTGTGTTTATTTCTTTCGTATCCTTTACTTACTTCATTAAAGACGTTTATATAAATATAAAAATCATTTAACTGTTTATGTTATCAATAGAATCCTTAGCAATCTCTATCAAACGTGATACTTTTCACAGCTAAATATAAACCACATTACTTTTCGTAATATCTAGGACACTGAAATGTATTAGTACTTTTTTTAACAAATTCAAATACTGCCAAAAGAGGCATATTTAGATTAAACATGGCTTAACTATTCTTATGCTGTCTATTTAACCGTTTACTTTCATGAAAAAAGATCGTAAAATAAGAAATTTAAATAAAAGATTTTGTTGCCTGTATATCATAATATATTCCAATCATATTTGAAACTGTCTCAACGCCTGATGAGATTAACTCATTGGTATTGCATTAAGCAATTACAGCTTCACTTTCTTATCAATCATGTAATTATTCAAACAATGGCACTAAATGGTCATTCAGTAGATTATACGGAAATAGAATGTTGATACATTACAGAAATAGCCAATGTCCTACTGTCACCGTACAGAGTAGTTAAATCACGAGTCTATACTTTGCCATAAGCGGAATATAACGTCTACAATTGATCGTATTATGCATATTATTAATTTTGTATGTAAATTTTTTTTCATCAATTTAGAAAGAATTATCAAAAAAGTAGGTATCAAAGTAATGGGATTTTAAAAATAAGCCAAAGTGTTCTACAAAAAAATGATAGTAGAATTAAAATTTCTAAAAGTTAATAGGAACTATCCCTCGGAGTATAATGTTTGGGTTCATTTTAACCCAGATTTTTAAACTTAATTTAACGTCTTACCTATTTTTAGCTACCTTGCATTCTCAGTTGATTATATCAAACTAATTATGTAATAAGATCAACGCGTCTTAAAGTATTATATCTACGTGTGAAAATGTATCTAAAAAATGAACTATGTAAGTAACAATTTGAATAGTCCTAAACAACGTTGCTTATATATACAAAGTAGTTAAAAACATCCACCGTTGGAAGGTTAATAAATTTCAAATAAGAGTACACATAATTATAAATACAATTATATAAAATATAAATTGTCAAATATAAATATAAAATATAACTATATTTTCTAAAAATTTCTGAGAAGATAGCCGCGTGGAAGAAATGGCCACTTGATTTATCTTTAACCCCTTGGCTACTGTTGGCGTCTAAAGGCGCTTTAAAAATTTGGTTTTCATATACTGTAGGCGCCGGTAAAGTGTTATTGACAATACTTATAGCAAAGCTCGCTTAGATCAAACGTAAGTGAATTCTAATTCAACAATTGCATCTTCCGTTAGTCATATATTATATAAATTTGATTACTTTATATTGGTTTAATTTAGTTCAAATCAGTGTTTCGTTGGTTCCAATACACTTTCTTAGAAATACGCTCTGCCGCAAAATTCTGGCGTCGCCAAGGGGTTGAAAATCAAACCTCATACTCTAGTTCTTTTAGTCTTCCTTTAAATGTGTTTCAAGGAAAATATAATCTTCTCCCTCGGAATTACCCTATAAGAAGAACCGAAGAAAGTATAATTATATTTTCCATATAATTATGGTGGATGCAATGGAATAAAGTCCATACTAAAACTGCAAAAGATGTTTGAACGTTGAATAACCACGGTTTTCCACCTTTTCAAGTCATTCGCGGACCGCCAGATAGAAACGTTCAGCAGCTGCAACTGTCACAGACACACGGGGGTTGTAGACACGGAAATATGTCGCACACGCGGAGAACTCGATACATGAAGAGGCAAGAAAGTCCTTAGAATCTCGACAGCCGAGTGTGTCGAGTTATACGAAACCGTTCCGTAGCATAGAAAGGAGGACTCTTTCGTGGTGAGACGAAACTTCGGCCCAGCCCGTTTATTTTCGTTCCGATTTCACGGAGTCACAAGAACTCGGCTCGTCTGCGGATGCACAGACGGCTAATTGGAGCTTCCTCCCTTCGTTTCCGAAACTGGCGACGATTGCAAAGTATCCAGGGAATGCTACGTATTTTCGGAAAGTGTCTGAACCATTGCGACGCTATACGTTGGTTACCGCAGAAGTTTCGGGAATCCGCCATTTCTAGCGTTTCCATTCAGTTGTTTATGTTATTTTCGTAAAGCTTCACATTTTTATCGGCTGCACTGAATATCGTTGGGAGATGAGGGTGTTTTTTTCGAAACTCGTAAAGTTATTGGAAACCATCAAATTATTAATAAAATCTTTCGTATAGAATATTAGAATACTTGTAGTACCTCTCTTAATACATTATAGTAAAACAAGAATTATCAACTAATTGCAAACGCAGAGTCACATCTACGTGACAACAGCAGTGGAATTATTAACAAGAAATTCAATTTAGTTTCGGAATTCGAGTTAATTAATATATTCAAGAGTGTGTGGACTCGAATTTATAGGATAAGTTTATGTATTATTTTATATATAATATACACAAAGCTGTTAAAAAATGTACTTTTGAAAATCGTTGAGACATAATATAACACACACATATATATATTAATGAATAAATTAATTAATTAATTAACAGAATTAAAACACAATATTCTCATATTGTAGTCATCTACATAAAGTTGTTATAACAATGTGAGAATATTGTGTTTTAACTGTATTAATTTATTTACTTATCTATACAGTTATGATGTATTATAAATGTATTATATTATGTTTCAACGATTTTCAAAACGAATTTTTTCTCAATGAAAAAGAATATGTACTTTCTTGTGATATAATATCAATGAAACGTATAATTTCTTTTTTTGTCCAGGGCATCTGTCCAGGAAATCGATTGAGACTCCTGGTTGGCCAATATGATACAGGGGGTTGTTTGGTTGGCAGCAGGCCTGACCTAACCATTTCTGAAGACGGTGTACAGAGGCATGGAAAACGGCGTAGCTGGCACGTTCAACCAAACAGGGTGAGTCATTTGTGACACAATCCTATTATTAAATTCATGGGGCACACAATATTCCTGTAGACAATGCAACTGCTCCTTTACTTCAGCCATAAATTTTACTTTATTTTATGATAATTTACCGCTAGAAATATTTATTGAATATATTATATGGTTTGTTAAACTCTCGGCATGAAATTAAAATTTAGATTTAAATAAATGAAGTTTCATCAAACTAATAACGAAAATTATGGGGAAACACGTCTAGTGAATTGAACTATTAGTCAACTTCAATATTAGCTTCAACTTTTACGAAGTGTTAATCAAAATAATACACTGTGAATTCACAAAAAACTTAAATAATCGATCAAATTCACAGTATCAACTGAAATCTTCAGTGAAATAAATCTTCAACGATTCATTTACACAAACATAAACATACAAAATAAATCATTAATTTTAGTAACAGAGTCACAAAAATTAATTAATAGTAACAAACTCATAAATAAATCTCTTAAGAATATTTAAAAAACAAAACAAATAAAGAACCACAATGAAAACTAACAAACCTGATTCATTTTCTCTAACCGAATTTCAAAACATGCAGACAACCAGAAAACAATCCAATCGATCAAAGTAACGTATTAGCATGAATTGTTTCCGAAATGAAATTCATACGGCATCATCGGAAATCCTTATGCATATACACTCATCTCTTCATTTACGCGGGGTATCCGTCTCACGTAGTAAATGGATCTGTTCAACGCGAATGAATATTGCGTACATTCTGTAACTCCAAAACAAACTATTGGATAGAAAAGCTGGTACAAATTTCGCAAATACATATTTCTTCCTCCCAGTTGAACAAAAAAATAATGTTGCCATTTCAAAAAATAAAAGTATTTTGTCGTTAAATTTGGATCGCGTATAAACGATACCGTACAAATGGAGGTACGAATGTAATCCTGTTGAGGTAAATCAAACGGTGGCACTCAATACTAAAAACAACAAATTTATCATTTTTACTGATTGCAGAAGTATCCTAGCAGCTGTCGAAGTTATTAAATCAAAAAACCTTATTACTAGACTGATTATCGAAAAGTATAACATGACATTAATTGAGAACCCAACCACCGAAATCCTGTTAAGAGGGTTACCATCACGTGGGAATTTCCTTAAGTAAAAAATCAGACTCAATTGCAAAACAGGGTGCTAGCTTTAGAAGACTTTAAAGAAGTAATTCGAAGAGTTCATTCATGCTCTAATATTTTAAAATTTCTAAAAGAAATCAAAACAGTACACTTAATTTAATCAGCCATCCACAACTAAGGAATACACAATACAGTCATGTACATAGATAATTGTCTGCATAATTTAAAGTAGTCGCAAATGACGTTGACGCATCGTAAAGTATACAATAAAGAAAGAAAAAGGATCGGGTGCGAAAGATTCGTCTAAATATCTGCCCGTAGAACTGCCGATTGCTCCCTTTAGTGCTTAATCTAACTGGGTTGGCCTGGGTATCACTCGATCTATTATCCCACCCGAGGGTGAATTTTATTGGCAGCGCACGCAGCTGCCGTCTCGCATTAATTTATTCGCGATTTGAAAAGACGTAGAAATTCATGAAGTTCGAAACCCGCCACCCCCATCCGCCCTCTGTCCCCATCGATCGACTTTATACGTGGGCACGGACGTACAATGGCGTCGTCGTCGACGGTGGCGGCGGCGGTGGTGGTTCCATTGTGTTCACCATAACTCCCGTCCCTCCCGCGGCGCACCCCATCCCCCACGGAACTACGGTTATATAGGCCCTAGCTGCGCGTAGAAACGGGATCTGTCAAAATCAGCTGACGACCAATTCGTTTCCCGGACTCTCCTTCTGGCCACTGACTGCGTCGCCTGCTATTGGCGTTGCTGAGCATCTGTCACCAACGACCGTACAGCTAAATGAATACCGCGAACGGATTGATTAGCCTCGTCTGAATTTCGTTCGAAGCATCGGCAGGACGCTTGCTTTGACAACGGGCACAACGACACTTTGTGCTAGTTTCTGTTTTGTTTTTGTACATGTGTATATGCTGTAAGATCAATTGGGGTTTGAAGAGCTCCCAATAATAACTGTTCCTAACTGCTGTATATCGGTTTCGATTGAAACAGTTGTAGAGAACCAAAATAAAGCTGCAACCGTTATTAGGTATATGGGTTGCTGAAGTTTCGGGGGAGTATGAGAAGTCACGAATATGTTTGAAGTAATGCTTACATTGCTTTTCAATATTGTCCTTCGATATTGATACATTTTCAATTGTGTTGTGGCAACGCTTTTTACCTTATAATTGTAAAGTTTTAGGAAAATAATATAAATTCTCGTGTTTAACCCCTTATATAATATCGACTCAGTCTTCTGATGAAAACGTTCAATTGAATTCGGCAAATCTATATGTTATTTATTTATTTTTTAAATGCTACTTGTCTATTATCAATCTTCAACCTTTAAAGTAAATGTAGGTACAGAATAAGTATCAATTTTTTTTCTTTATCTATTAAATTATTGAATTAATTTTCCTCTATTTTCGCAAATAAAGATAAACAAATCTGATTTCAATCTAAAACATATTCTATTTCATTATCTATAAATTGTCTATCTATACATTACAATTACTTTAAAAAAAGTTTGATTTGCCTGTATTTTTAAAAATAAGAGAAGTATTAAACACCATATTATTTATAGGATGACCCAATAATAACGATAAAGTAGTTTTATCAAGCACAGATGTGATAGATATCATAGAACAAGAGGTTGAAAATCCCTGAAACTTCTGCAGCAACATATATATATATATTGGTTTCGATTTCGATGCTTCATCGATTATCGATATTATATCGATTCATAGTGCAAGTCTCCACGATGTTTTTTCTATATGCAATAAGTGAGAAAGGAAACATATTTCTTCCCTTCAAAAATTGTACGAATTCAAACGAGTTTACGAGCATTACAAAATGGTCTTTGAGAATAAATCTACCATAGATGTGAAGATTAGAGTGGTCCCTTTACAACAACCCTTTGAAACATGATGTACTAAGAGTCTGCAGACATTGGAATAACCATTAATATACTAGACACACATTAAATGCACAAATTAAACACATACACTCTATACATGTACCACACATGCACTAAATTCACACAGTAGACGCAAATTAACCGAACACCACGCGAGGTACAAGTCCGATCGTACAACCTCCTCGTGAATTACCTCGGGTTATTCTAATGCTGGTGACAACTATATTTGAATTATTAAAGTTGATAAAATAAAATAATTGTACACATGAATAAACACAAATGTTACGCATTATTCAATAGTTCTTTTTAAAAACGATGAACTATAGAATTGGAAACTAACTAAGAACTTAGATGTAAAAACTGAATATCATTAAAAAATAAAGTCGCTTTTCCGAAACGCGCAAAGTTATCAAAAACCATTAAATCATCCATCAAATCTCTTGCAGAAAACATTGGAATATTTGTAATACCTTTTATAATATATTATAGTAAAACATAATTCTAATAATAATTATCAACTGAATGCAAACACAAAGCCACAGCTACGACAATAGCAATCAAATCGTTAAAAGCAAGAAATTCAATCCATCTTGAAAGTTCAAATTGACTAATACATTTAAGTACGCGTGCACTCGACGAGTATTCCACTGTACCCATAATAAATAATACAAAATGTGCTAAATCATATTAATTCGTAGTACAAACCCGCCCGCAGTAAATTACCATTTGGCGCCAGCCCCCCGATTCACGATCTTCATTACGAAATATGTACACGACAGATGTTAACTGGCACGAAATGAAAATATATAGATATGGGGGATTAATCATATGAATCGTTGCATATTTAGCGCGCCACACTTAATATACGCACGGATAATTCTCTCTAAATGGAGAACGCATCGATGCTCAGCAGCGAAATCGTTGGTATCGTTACGCGGAAGATGCGTTTATCGATGAATAATTGCAACATTAGTACTCGTATTGCGCAATGAGAAAGGAGATCTCTGGGATACTAGAGCCTACGCTCTAATTGCGGTTTAAATTCGCCGTAATTCATCGATTCGGTGATGGTTAATAGAAAATATTAGCAGAACAACTTGAACAAGACCAACGCCAGACTATATTGATATTCTAAATTAATCGTCCATAACAGATCTATATCCACATATTTTAATCTGCGCCACTATTCCTGGGAGAAAGTATTTGAGTAGAGAAACTAAATAATGATGCAAGGAATGTTTTCAGTGATTATGAAAGGCAGAAATAGTTCTGTTTCGATTTATATTAAATATATCCGTATGATAGAAATACATGTTTTTATAGATTATTTAGTAATTACAGGAAATGGTCAACTATCATAAAAATAAAATTTATAATTACAAACTAAATTAAATAATGTATGGACCGTTGGATAGTGTATCAACCTGAAAATATTTTAATAAATTTTACAAGTTGCACTAAGCATGATACATATTATCAAAGATTCTGCAATTCTTTTATTAAAAATATTAGTTATGAAAAATTGAAAACGTTGGAAAGTTAAAATGTGCTATTTTTGCAATACCGATGTGTTATAAGTGTAGTTTCACAATAGTTTCTATTATTATGATAGTTTTTCAGAATAACGATACAGTATTATAATTACGGTTTCTAAACTTGTTCAGATTCTTTGTCTAGTAATTCTCGACGTTCAAACTTTAAAAATGCCTGATTATTTTTCATTTCGAACGAGTAATTCTTTCTTCAAGTTTTAAAAGTTTAATAGTTTCTTCGTTGTCGCGCAAATGAACCTCGAGGCACGATTTCATAGCAATTCGTATTTTTTCTCCACTTTCCTGGATTCCTGCTTCTTCGAGCACGATTCAGCATCGATGTGGAAGGCCGAGCACGTACTGTTTACTGTTATAACATTGTCATCGTTGTTTTTCTGGCTATTTAATTTCGGGTCGGATATCCATCA